AAAAAAAGTCTTGAGTTTTTGTCCTTGCTCATTCACTTGCATCTTTCTTACACTCCTTTTTAGCCTTAATTTTTTATGGATGAACTTAATCGAGTTATTTAATGACTGAAGCTTTTGCTCACAGGCCTTACGTAATAATTCTGATAATTATTTTTTATCACGCTCATTCATACATGCCTCCTGCCAACGTGCCTGAGGTGCTGCACAGACACTGCAAAACAGCACAAATTAAACATAACAAAAGAAAATCCAATGACGTATTTAGAAAGGCATGTATGATATTAACGAGAAAGTCTGTTTTCAAACATGAGAAATTTCAAGGCAAACCCACTGCAAATACAGAGGGATTCCTGTGAGTTTCTTGCTACCAACCCTATCAAATGCACTTAGCTACAGCAGATGAAACCTTTGTTCATTTCCCTCCAGCTGGCATCTTCAGAACACTTTCCTCATTTTATTTAAAATATTTTTAGATTGTTTCTGGTTTGTATGCAACCTGGAAGATCTCTCTGTTTTGAGAGCTACAGAGCTATTATAATATGGTCATTTCTGGCTATCATCTTTAAAGCAGTTAAACTGACATCATGCCACATAAGATACCAAAACAATTGTTACTCTGTTACACAGAAAGGGAACTGCGACAGAAAGGACACTAAGCTTGCCAAGATCAAAAAAAGCTTGTGAAATAAAAAGAATTTGCACTCAAGTTGTCCAAGTGACAGACTATCACCCCATCTAAGCTGCAGTACATCTTCAGCTGTCACTAAAACACATGAAACTTGGGGATTAAAATGCAGATAAGGAACACCTTAAGAAACAACACATGTGGACAAATATGACTGCATTTGTATCCAGTCCATGACTACATATATACAAATGCCTTTCAAAAACATCTACAGCATGTGCAAATGTTAAGGATCAATTTGCTGAAATCTTTAAACTCTTAACTCCTGATTTTGCAAATTGCCTACTGTTTTAACATCCTTTTTTTTTTGTCCCCCGAGATTCTTAATATCTTGTCAGACAAGCTCTCCAAAACCTGAGTTTCCAAATATCTGTGCAGCTACTGAACTGCATGTAGTCTGCTTGTTAACAAGAAATGAAGCTGGAAGTTAAGTCACTGCTAATTAAACTCATAATTACAAGTGGAAGGTCAGACAGCAGATCCAAGGGCTGTATGAAAATGTAATAAAACAAAAGAAAGAACAAACTTGAATGCAATAATTCAGTCCTTACTTGGCAGACTGACCCATTAGAAGACTTCTCAGCTGTATACAGTTCTGAAGGCAAATATTAGAATAATGAATGCAAATCACTTGGGTTTAAACAAGTTTGTCAAGGATTAGCACAGCCTCTAAACATTACTTGGATTTCTATTGAAAAAAAGATCAAACCAAACAAAAACCAAACAAACAAACAAACAAAAAACCCCACACAAACAAAAAAAAAAAATTAAAAAAGAAAGATAAAAGGAAAAAACAACCCACAACAATTAAGAATTGCCCATTTACAAAGTTAGAACATGAATCACGGCTTCCTAGCCTGAGCTCCCAAGCGGCTGCCACTAGCACATCCTCACAAAATGCCTTCTTTGTTGGAAATGGGTAACATCTCATTCCTCTGCTCCTGTGCAGTTCAGAAATCTGCTTCAGAGTTCACTGCTCTGCCTGTGAATCTCCATGAATGCAGAAATCCAGAGGTAAACCACTATATTGCCTTTATTCCCTTGTTGTAAGGTTGAGGCAGACAGAAGATGGGAAGATCACAAGGTAATTTAGGCAGATGGCTCAGAGCAGCAGTATTAAAAGAGCAAAGGTTCGCAGAAGTACCAACTACTAGCAACTGGAAAGTGGCTGGAGGACAGCCAAGGAAGCTTCACACTATTTTCTGCTTTCCTTGATCTCCTGAAGAGACAGAGCGTTTGATGTGGGTCTCAAACTCCACGTTCTGACCTTCCCCACTGCTCTGTCACACTGGGATGAGTGATGGGCGCACAAAGACACGTGAGGAGCAAGGCAGCACATGCAGCCATGCCAGACCAGAAAGCCAGTACTTCTCCCAACACTATCCCAGTTGTGAAGAAGCCCTTGGGGGTTTGGGAAAATCCAAGGAGAAGGATTTTGTTCTTTCCAGGATAGGCACGTTTCCAACACAGGATCTGGACACCTTGACAGCACAGCACTTACTAACCCATTTGGAATTTAGGAAGCTTCTGTTAGGAAATACAGAAACATAGGCAGCATACCAAAAGTGCTTCCTGACATGCCTCCTGCTTTGGGTATTTCACCTTTCTGTGAGCCATAGGCTGTCCCTGAGATTCACGGCAGGGTGGAAATGCCTTGTGAGATTTTCCAATTCCAGATTAAAAAAAAAAAAGATTCCCTCATGAGCAGGCTTTCATCTGACATGCTAATTCTAAAAATCTGCCTTCCAACTGTTCAACTTTGCTTCAGTGAATGCCTCACCAAGCCCTTTCTAATAAATATCATTTATGATTTCTGTAACACACTTGTTTCGCAGTGAAACTGTGGAGGTAATGACGACTGGGTTGATTGACACCTAGTTATTCAATCAAACATATTCCTATCATGCTAGTCACAGACCACACATGCCAAATTTGATGCTGAAACAACTTTTATCAGGCGTTTTGGAGAGGGCTTGGGAAGAAAATCAGCCTTGTAATCAAAATCTTAACTATGTTGCAGCTACTGCGGCAACATAATCCTATTTTCTGTCCTGCTGGCAATTTAGTAGCAGCAGTGCAGAACACCAGAGAACTTCTCTATGGAGGGAGAGATAACAGCACATGTTTACTGAGAGGATGGGGGCTTGGTTTCTTAACAATGGAAGTATACACAGGTGTATTTGGAAGTTCTCCGTTGGTGGGCAAATTTTTATCTATAACTTATTGTGCCTCTTTGGGTGGGAAAAATGGATTTCACAGAAGTATTCTTTTCTGGGTCCCTGAAAGGTATAATGTGGGCAAGCTGAGTGGCAGATTTAGAAAGGCAAAAATGGACGCCATCATACAATGCAGAAGATAAGTAGTACTGGGAGCCAAGACATCAGGCCACGATGCATCTTGTAAAGCAGTAATTTACTGTCTGAGGAAAAATATTTGTTCTAAACCTGACACAATGTTTAATAAGATATTCTTCCTAAATTGTGGGGACATGAAAATACTTTCATCATAGCTTAGAAATTAAGGCTCAACAGAACTTCTGGAGAATCTATTTCTTTAGTCCATATCCTCTTCCCTAAGGCACTACTAAGCTTCTCTCTCTCCCCCCCCTCAGATTCCTCACTGAATTTCACCCCAGTTTTTGTACTCCTCTGAACTGTGCTGAGTTTTGGGAGGTGCTCAGTAGACCAAATGGACAACTTCTTCAGACATGAAAGAACTAGAACTTTCAGATTTTTTTTAGAAGATCATTTATTCAAGCTTTCTGGATTGCTACTTGTGTCTTGGATTTCAAGAGCAAATTCTTCATTGAACTTAAACCTTATTCCCATTACAGCCAGATCTCACAGATACTCTGTGGTAGTTTTACTCTATTTAGCTTCCCACGTAATTTCCAAAAATTACTTGCAGTTCCTACTTCTATTACTGTTAAACCCCACTTATTTTGGTAATACTAACAGAAAATTAATTTATAACAAAGCTTGTTATGTTTTTGGGCTGGTTTTATTATTATTATTGTAACTTTATATCCTACAAAGCATTATATCACCTGCAAGTACACATTGGCAAATTTAACACTGGAAATGCTATTAAACTCATGTTTATGAGAAATACACTTATTTATATCCTTCTGTGCAGATACCAAAGAGAAGGCAAAAGCAGTTTCTTGAATGCCAGCCTCACCTACATGCCAATTCCTCCGTTTCAGGAGCAAACCACAAACATTACAGTCTCAGTTTTGCAACCCCAGAAGAGACTGACAGAGTAACTGTGTCACTCTCTAGCACCTAAAATCCTTGGCTTAGCATCTTGCAGGAGAGCCTGTGTAGCACTACCCATCCTCTGGCCACCTCACCATTCCATTGCCATCAGATCAAATCTGAGATATCAGGTACTAATCCTGTCAGCACTGACTGCGGATCAACGACCCTCCCAGTACTCCATGTCAGTGTGAAGGTGGAAATTTTGTCCATGTTTTAAGAGGAAAAAATAAAAACATACTTTATCCTTTAAATTTGCTGAAGAAAAACAAATTACACATAGACAAATTGCCACCAATCAACCAGCAGCTCTCTGTAGCTGCTCAGAGGCCTGGTTTGTTGAAAATATTCTCATTGGGTATGGATTAGCAAGCTAACAGCAGGGGAAAGAAGTCAAAGGTGCAAGATAAATTGTGTTTGTTACAGAAGCTGTAATTTATCATCACAATATTGCCAACACAATTGTAGAGAATTATATATAAATTTAATAAAACAACTGCTGTATTACATCTATTATCCTGGAGTCAGGTTTGGTTATCTTTTCCTCCTTGAGAAGATTTTTCTGCAAATAATGCCACTGAATCTGGCCATTTATATTTTAAAAGACTGTCTGTATTACCTTATGTGCAAATAATAGTATAAACTACAGCATGTATCAAAATACTGAGAACATAAAATTACACATTGAGGAAGTGAAATCTTATATAGTTCCCTAGAGGTGGCAGTTCCCTCTGATGTTCAACAAAGAAATAGAGACAGCTGAAGCAGTGAGAGCTCTTGTTAAACAAAATACGTATAAACCTGAAAGACCTCTCTTCTGCAAAAATACACAGTTAAAGCGCCATAGTTCCCCTTCATGCACCTGTCAAAACTGCTTGGGGGATGTTGAAGTGAAGGTGAAGATGGGTGAAGAAGAAAAAAAACAGCCACTGCAAATAAGCAGAAGCAGAGTATTTTATTAGAAAGTTATCTCCTTTTTGCAAGAATGAGTGCTGAAATGGATAATACCTTTCTGTGAAATCCAGGTTTCCAGCTTCATGTTAAGAAGAGGCTCTTACCTTATGGGATTATCCATCCTTGATACTGTGAGAAAAGCTGCTAAGTTTGCTGTGTAGGAAGAGCACACGATAAGGGTGAAGAGCCACCAGCTTCCCATTACAATGCGCATAGCTACAGAATTTACAGGAGATTCTCCCCCTACAAATAAACAGAGAAAATGAGGGTGTCTCAGCAGCTTCCATTTACGATCACTCACTCTCTGCCCTATTATGTTACATGTTTTGGAGCTACCTCTCTGCGTTTCTGGTTCTCCTCCAGACTGCCCTTTCACTGTGAGAAAACCACTGCTTCCATGAAGACTGGTAATTTACAAACATTTTCTCCAGTCAGTCTCTTGCCCTGGCTACTGTTCTGGAAAATCATCTTTCAAAGTATTTCCCTTGGGAATTTTTTAGGATCAAACCTACAGGACATGAAAAATGTTCTAAATAGAGTAAGTTTAATGGTGAAGCACAATTAATAGGCAGGAATTAAATCATTACAGTGTTCAGAATATAGTAATATTCTATTTCCAATGACCATTTCAGATTTGGAAAAAACCCACAAAGCTGTCCAATGGCTTGTGTGTTATCTGTGCTGTATTTAAATCTGCAAAGACTGAAGCATTAGTGTCATTACTTGTTACTCTATACAATATTTTAAAAAATGTGAAGATTTCTTTATAGCAGGTTTCAAGCACATTATGCTTGAACATTGTTGGAGACTAGGTCTTACCATACAGCTAGCACTAGTCACTTCAGCATATGTTTGTGCTGATCATATCTTACTGCACTTAAACCCATCCAGGATGCCACCTTAATAAGACGAGGGACCAAGTTTCATAGCACTAGTAAGGATTTTTCAGCTGAAGCTTTATAAGCTTCCAATCACAATGAAAAAATGTAGAAAAATTTAATAACCTACCCATATGCTATCATTCAACAAAACCTGCCTTCCAAGAATAGCACTAAATTATAGATATGGGACAAAAACTGTGCCAGCAGATTTTGCAAATAATTATTTACAAAAGTAACTTTGTTAATGACAGTAATCCTACTGAATTCAATAGGATTAGTCCTATGCGTAGAGATTGCTTGAGTGTAAAGTTAGCTTCACAACTACGGATCATTTCCCTATTCACTTCAAAGAACACACTACAAAAAAAAAAAAGTCTCACATTAGTTCAAAAACATATAAACTTCTAAAATTAAATTTAAGCAGTTAGGGAAGATGCTAGCCTCAGAGTTTGAAAAGCAATTCTGCAACAAGCAGCTCTGTAGTTTATCACATGATAATTTTCCCAAAGTGGGAAAGCCTGCTAGGAGTGTTTTTTCTGGACTTACTGAGAGACAGAAAAGGAGAACATACTGCTTCCCCCACCTCAAAACTTACCTACCTCTTCTCATTTTTCATTAGCTGGGCTAATAAAACATGTTACATCCCTGCACGCGCCTTCTCTTTGATCTTTAGACCATTCTGGCCAAGACTAACATGTCCTGAACTGCTTTACCCAAGGCTGAACTTTTCTGAACTTAAATCAGAGACGTTTATAAAAGTGAGTACCTTGCTGAACAAAGGCGCCGTAAACAACCCAGATGGCACTGTGGAGGGTAGAGGAAGCAGAAGGGCTCGGCTGGGAAGCATTCTGCGCCCTGACTGCCTGGATCCGGTTCAAGACAAATATCAAGACACCAACTATAGGGATGGCTGCAGCAATGCAAGCCCACACCGCAAAGTCGAAAGGAGCAAAGAGAGAGAAGATGTTGATTTTCTCTTCAGGCTTTTTGATTAAGATCCCCACGGAATAGTCCATGTACCGCTTGCTGAAGTCCACAACACTCTCTCGTTCTGGTGTTATAGTGATGGCTGAGATGGCTAGGTCTGCTCTCTGTGAGACAAACGCAACAGATCAGATCTCTTCCTTTCACCATGAATTTGGCCAGCGTGAGCTTTAAGGAGAAACATTTTACGAACCAAGTGACTCCATGCATTTTTTTCTATAACTTAGAAGAAATTTAAATAAATTGCCTAAAAATAAAACCACAATCAGTTTTATAATTTGAACATTGGTTAATTGCTGTGGTCTAAAGCAGAGTACTGAAAAATAATATGTCACTATCTGGAACAAAAAGCATCACTCTGATTCCTCTCTGGAATGAGTACAACTTATTTCACCTTTATTTCTCATTTGTTTTCCAGAGGATGCCTAAAATTCCATACCATATAAAGCTGGTGCACTGCAAGCTGTAAGAAACATCATTTATTTAGCTTGAGTATTTGATAGCAAAGTGCAAAGAGCTAAGGTTTGTTGTTCTCCCTGCAGAACTGCCTACTTCATATTTATGATGGGATTTCATATGACAACTGGGGGGGGCAGATTTTGTTGTTTTTTTTTTACGATGAATAAAGTGATTGCATAAACTAGTAATTGGAAGAATGTATCAAAGGCAACTTAGCACCTGAAACTGCTTTGACCTCAACATTTAAAGCAGTTAGGTTTTACATGTAGAGGGTCATTAAAGAGTATGCAAACTCAATGACAGCTAAAACAGGAGTTAGTAAATAAGATTCCCAAAGCTTTTGAAGAGCTGCAATTATATCATGAATAATGTTCCATTTTAATAAAAAGAATTCTCTTAAAAAAAAAATAGAATGCACTTTTTGTTTCCTATCTCTACCTTTTGTTTGGAAAATAAAGGAAATGTTAGATGAGGCAGGTCTGCTTTGAAATCCTTTGGAGTCAGTGGAAAACCTAGTAGCAGAAATAATTTTAAAAATACTATAATAGATACTTTGTTGCTTCAAAGAAAGCAATTTCCAGAGAAATTTAACAGGATTTCTTACCCCATTTTCAAATCAATAAGATTCAAACAGCTTATGTCAATGCAAAGTAAGTAAAAATTTCTCTATACCACCTAGCACCAACCAAGAATATCCCATTATCGAACACACATTTCCTACAGTTTTAATTGCTTTTATTTCTTCCTAAACAACTACTTACAAAATACTGAGCTGCCTACATACTAGTTAATGAGAAAGCTTTCATTTTCAGTAACAACTCCACTGCAGAAGAGTAACCTTTTCTACAAAGGGCAGCCACATAGAATATTAATTCCTTTGATTCTCCTTTTTATTAACATTTGTCCCATACCAGATAGCAAGAACATGAACCAAATATGCTCTAATTTCATTCTCTGGGAGATTCTAAGCTAGGAACTTTCCCCATTTACTTCAATGGAGTTCACACTCCTGATTTGAAAGGCTGTAATTAAGAAAAGAAATTTGGTCCTCTCTGTTTTAAATGAATGAATAATCTTGAGATCAGTTTAAATGCTGGTCCTTCAAAACACTTCTTTATGGTATATTACATGGGGCACTTTTCCTGTTTTGGAGTCAGGCAGTTGGTAATTATCACATTGCCACAAAGTGACCCAAAGCAAGTCACACCTACAAACAAGTAGCAAAGACATAATGACAAAAATGAAAATAACAACATTTTAAGAAGAATATATTATTTTTAGTCTTAACTCACACACACATACATGTCCTTTCTTATTCTTACAGCTATGTAAAAACAGAGATTTACGCTGATAAAATTGATGTTGAGTTGGGAGTAAACAGAACAACAGACTTCCTAGTTCTTACCCTGTATACAGTTCACACTACACTCAAACCACCTATGGCTCTGAAGTGTTCTGCACTTGTGCTTTGATCCTAATTCATTCTCTTAGAGTTTGGAAGATTACAAAGCTTTGACACCCTACTCCATAGAGATGGGGGGGGGGAGGGTTATTGTTTTTGTTGTTCTTTGTTTTAAATGCAGATTCTTTTTCTGTGTACCTTGTTAATTAGTTCTCCAATCATGCCATTCCAGGAGCTGTTTTGGAGCTGCTGTCCATATTTGCCATCAGGAGCCTGATATATCTCATACTTGAAGCCCAGATTCTTGGCAAGTGCATCCAGGACATCAATGGAAAATCCTTTATATCGTTTTGGTTGCCCAAGAATGTTCTCTGCCACCATCACAAAAGGTTCTTCCTGAGAATAAAAGAGTATCTTAACTGACAATAGAAACAAGATTTTCAGTTTGCTTCTCTTAGTAAAAGAATGTTTCCTGAGTTAACTCTGGACAGCTTGGTACAGATTTTGAGACAAAAACTGTAGGCCATGAGGGATACTGTGAGGCATCCCAACTAGACACTAGTGCCTCAGCACCTGAGTCCTATCTGTAGCCTTGTGTTTTCCATAGCTCTTGAGAAGAGGCAGCGACTCCAGAAAATAATTCAACATCCTCTAGCAGCTTCCGGGTGCCTACAGAATGAATTACTCTCTGAAGTACCTGCCTCTTCTCACCAGCTATAAAAAGGGAACAGACACCTACCTTACTGCCCTAACTAGCTGTCTAGAATATAGGTATTAAGCTGTCTAGAATATAGCTATTGTTAAGCACACAAGTCCAAGATAGGAACATTACTGTCCATCTATCTCAGTCCATATTAGATTTAGAAAGCCATTTTTTACAGATAATGATTAGTCCAGGAGACATACTAAAACAAAATTTAATGAATGCTGCATTAAATGAATATTTAAAATTGTGAAAATTCAAAGAATAACCTTCACGGGTACTGGTCCTGGAGTATTTTAAATTAAAGTATGTTTTGGGACCAAGGAAATGCAGCATTTTGTGTTATGTTTTCTGTCAGGTGTGGGCATCCTGTTCTCCTGCAGGGGAACTCAAGGGCTGCCCGTAGCACAAGGCTGGCTGCCTTTGAAACCTGATACCGATATTCTTATGGAAGGGATCTGCTCACCTCCCATGTAAACTGCAGCACAATCTCGCCTGTCACCAGGTAAAGCAAAGAGAACTGGGGGTTGGAGGAAGACCCTTAATGACCTTATGCGGTACTTCTTATTTGTACCATGATTCAGAAAAGGAGAAATTAAAAAAACCACACATAGGAAAACCTCAAACCCACAGCAAAAAAAACAACCAACCAACCAACCAAAACCAAACCAAACCAAACCAAAAAAAAAACAAAACAAAAGCAAAACAAAAAAACCCCAACCAAACAAAAACCAACCAAAAGACCCCATTCTGCAATCTGCAAACAGCAATATTTTAGGCAGGAATGCAGCCAAGCCCCAGTTTGCCCCTAATTTAGCACTTAGCTGAGAAGAGCTCTGTTACCACTCTGGATACTAACAGACAGTCCCAAAAGTGTAATGATTTTTTGGAAAGACTATGCCTTTCTAAAAGATATAGTTTATCTCAATGGGAATTTATGAGCTTGATGGAGGAAACACTTGATTAAATTTTACAGCCTGCAGCATACAAGAGCCAAGATTAGATTATCATAATTGGCCCATCTGATCTTAAAATCCAGGAAATGCTGGAAAGTGCATATCTGAGTTAGAGTACAGTATCTGGAATGCGCCCCTGGGCACTAGGGCTGTGTGCTGGTTTCATGCCCAGTAAGAATTACAATGCAGAAAACCAGCATAAGCAAACAAACAAATGCTCTGTATCTCTAACAGTGCACAACTTCACATAAAATAATAAAAAAGGCCATCATGTATCTTCCTTGTTTATATAACTGATCATCCAAAAATACAGTACTGAAAATTATAGGGAAAAATACTGTGGGAAATGCCCAAAATACTCAGGTCCTTTTTAATTTGAGAATTTTGTTTCCTGAACTCAAACAGGATCATACCAAGACAGTAACCACTTTGAGTGTCAATCCTTGTAAATCATTGCCCAGACGTCGTTCTTGTAGGCTACCATTCAGTCCTTTCTCAGAGTCCCACGTTGCCAACTAGAACAGAAAGTATAGTGAGTATGAAGGACTATTATGCAGAAATCTTTTAGTATTTATATAAACACTTAACAGTAGCTCGACTGAAATAGGATGAGAGATGTGTGGCTTTTTTTAATGCAGAGTTAGAATTAGTTAGATTCAGAGGACAAACATATACAAGTACCTTGCCCGAATGTATTTTCATCAATGCCTGTAACAGAACAGCTCTATTACTTGTAGTATTTGTCATATTATTTCACTTAGATCCCTCTGATATGACATTTCTCTCCAGAGTGTTTATACTGTCTGACAACCCTCAGGAATATCTGTGAACTCACTACCCCATATTTCCCTCTCTGCTCAGATCCTCTCCTACTTTTCAAATCACTCTCTTATTATTAAAAACTAACCATTTTTTGCTGCTGCACAACATTGTCACTCACGGATAGTCGTAAAGTCTTGACACGGATTCTGTGGTGTCAAACTGTCTCTTCTCTCCCTCGGACTTAGAATCATAAAATCATAGAATTGCTTCAGATCCTATCTTAAGTCCTATTTTCTCTGTTCTTGCCCTATCTCTGCCTCATCAGTAAAACAATAACAGGCTCCTGATGATAAAATAATCTTACATCTACCAGTACTTTATGCATCTGCTAGAGGTACCTGAACACATAATTTCAGGATATATCCCTGGAACATTACATCTAAATATTTTATTTTTTCAACTAAATATATTGCTTTAAAAATCAGTTTTACTGCATTTTCTGAAGAAAAAATGCAGTAAAATTCAATAGAATAGGTTCAGTAGAAAATTCATTCTTGAGTGACCTTTGCATTATTCAAACTAAATATGCTCTTCAGCAGCAACAGCTGTCAGACACTCCTTTTGCCTTCAAACAGAATCCATGGTGTCGTTTTGTTCAGAAGAGTCATAAATAATATCAAGCAGAAACTGTTTCCTGCTTTTTTTCTTTTTTTTTTCTGGCTTTACACCAATACTATGCTCACATATGTGGAAGCAGTGTTGTTAGCTGAAGGGACGCCCTGTAGAAATTAAACACAGTCCAAGATCTGTGAAATGTGGCTTCATCCTGCCAGAAGCTAATTTTCATGTAACAAGTCAAAACCTTCTTGGAAAGAACTTATTTCGCTGAAAATGCCTATGGCTACACGTCCTACATGATTTATTTCTATGACTTCAGTTTTAACCTAAAGCCTCAAAAATGAAACCAACAAATAAAATGTGACGGGAGAGATCTGTATAGTTTTATTTTTGTTTTGTTGCACTAAACTGATAAACAGAGAACTAAAAAAGAACAGAACAGTCAGTAAGTATTTGGCCATCATAACTATCACGACTGATGAAAATTATTCTATAGTCACTAAATCTTCAAAGCTGAGAACACAGGAAAGAATTAAGCTATACCTCCTTTTAAACCAGATGTTCTAGGGGATGGAGGAAGAGAATGAATGAATAAATAATATTCGGCTTTCTAATGACAATCCTGAATACCGAAGTATCTCAGACTGAAAACTCTCCCCCTGTGATGACAGTTTGGAGTGAAAGATGAGCATCCAAACATTAAAGTGTCTGTATCAATACAGGTAGATACCTATAGCCATTGTATCTTTTAAATCTGAATTTAAATGCTTGCTATAAAATATGTCCAGATGTTTCTTAGATTTCGCTATTGCCAAACCAAATTAATAAATTTGTAATCTGACATAAATCACTGTGGTTCAACAGACTTCAAACACCAACATGAGTGTGTGTGGCATATATTTTGTCCAAATCTGTAAAAGAAAATTCACTCTCCAAGCCTTTTCAGCTATCATGTCCAGCAAGTACATGATAAAGATGCATGAAAGGTTTTGGCCAAAATAGCTTCCGCAAGCTACAGATGGTGATTAATTTTTTATTTAAAAATGGGAAATGTAACACATTCATTTATTACTTCACCACTGATGGACTAGCATTTCAATTCTTTCTCCCACTCCTTTTGCTTTCAAAAACTATCTGGTTTCATATCAAGGCCTTTGACTTCCTGAATACCCTACATTTTACATTCTGCATTAACTCTAAAAATTCCAAAAAGGAAATGGAGACATGCCAGTGGAAAGTCATAAATGTATTCCTTTTATTCAAAAGGAGCAAGACAAAGATTCCTCTTTTATGTAGTAGGTGTAAGTGCAAGGAAAAGGACCATATTTCAATGAAACAGAATTCCAGTGTTCTCTGTGGAGGCACAGACATTTCAGTCTCTAAAAAAAGCAAACTATGCACATAAAGTTGGTAAATGGAACATGAGAAAAATCATTTCCAGAAGGGATTTTTCCTGTGTGTCCTTGTGCTTCAGAACATTTCATTTGTTCAGAAGTGTGCCAATTTTAACTTCCACATCTTGCAGACAGAATTTTGTTTATAGGACCAATGTATTTACAGATATAGCTATCAATTTGAGACAGCTGATCTGTCAAGTTCAACTGATTTCCAGCACTGTTAAACACAATGAGTACTGCTGTTAAGGCTGTTGGAGTTTCATTCTTTGGAGAAATATGTACCAAGTTCCTACCAGAAGTCTGAAGCCAAAGGCTGTAGCACAGCCATAAGCTAATAGGAGATAAAAGGGCTTTTAGGTCTCATTACGACAAACAATTACAGAATTAGCACCTGTGTCATGCATTTAAAAAATCTGGAACAAATATGTAATGGCAGCCTGGGTGTTTGGGTTCTTGTTTTTTATTTTTAAATTACTCAGTTCTGGGCGTTAAAGTTTTGAAAACAGCTACTTTATTAAAGCCTTTCAACTTAAACTTTCTTCCTAACTTCTCTTTCTGAAACAGACATATTGCAGGGAATCATACAGTTCTAGCCATACATCAGAAGCTCACTCATCCAATAAAGACAAACCAGAGGAAACAAATGTGAAATTCAGACAAAAAGGTTATTTGTTGGAAAATTCTGACTGATCTGATTCTGAAAGACCTGACTGATCTTTATCAATATTTACTGCATTTTCAACAGAACTGCAGGGAAAAGCTTGAAGAGAGAAAGTCACAATTTTATCATAGTTTTCAACCTTTACAAGCGATTCGTATCTCCAAACACAAATACTCAACACACAAGCAAAAGAATTACATGGCTAGACAAACTAGGAACGTCCAATGATAAATTATGTCATCCGAACCAAAGTATGACTCTCAAATCTGCTGGTCAGGACTTTGTACTGATACGTGTCAGGAACTTCAAAGAAAAATTGATGTCAACGTAACTTCAGGGTTCCTGAGCTCCCATCAAAAAAACTAGAAATCAGATTTTTTTTCAAAGGACTTTCATAGCTTCATTAAGGATGCAGCTGCTGGATGCCCAACAGTTACTTGAGTGATTAGCTCCCCAGGGGAAATCATATTGAGATGTCACGGTAAAGTCACACTAGAGAATATCAGAAAGAACTCTGCAGAAGTGTGAATACCCTCATCAGCACAATGAGGCAATCCTTCTGCTTAAACAAATCAAGGCTGCATTAAGCACTGATTTGCAAGATTTAATACCTCCTGTGAATTTGATCAATTAGATTGAGATCCTGCATGCCAGTTCCTTTAGGAGATTAAACTGATGATCAACTCAGTTATTTGTTACACATCTGTTTGTCTGCAAAGTCTGCATGTTCATACTACTCTATTACACAATAATTAAATATTCGTTGAATCAGGAACTTAGATTTAGTTTTCCTAACTCTGCTGTGAATGTTCACACCACTGGACTATGGCAAACATCTTAGGCCCAAAACAAATGGAGATGAAAATTATCCCAAACTACTAGTAAACTCATGAAAATTGACATTACCATAAAAAGTTAATATTTAATGATTCTATCATAACAGTGAATGAGATCATCTACACTGTTTTAGTTTATGGTGCAGTAGTTACTGTCTAAAAAACCATGTCACTGCTATCTAGTGTCATTGTAAATATGACATCATGTTAAGCATGATCTATTTTTCAGGGAAAATGTGATTCCCATGAGAAACAAAATGCGATAGTTTTCAGCAGATGTATAGTAATGTTTGAAAGTGCTACACTCAATCCAGAAAACGCACCTTCTATTTTACCAAAATCCAAATGCTTTTATGTGCTGACTCCTTTGGAGCTAAGGTTACACTTTCCAAAGAAATGAAGTTTGGGATTTCCAGCCTTGAAACCTGATAAACATCTAACAGTCAGGAAACTGAAGAGAATGCAAGGTAGTTCTCATGCCAGGAGACAGAGGCACCTATATCAGGCCAGAGCACATTTTCTACGAATATGAAAGCTGTTTTGTATATGGACTTAAATAAATTAATTTATGTCACTCACAGTCTGATAATGGTTTTAGATTAAAGTTGAATTGAAACAGATTTCACTTCATTGACAACTTGTTTCTTAAACTTAAAGTCAACATAGCATATATCAAATATGGTGTCCTTGTACCATCTATGCTTTGTGTGTTGGGCCCTCACTCCCTTTGCCAGTCTTGCAATATGGCTAAACACTTACTGAAACATTTAACATTGTAAAAGCAGATTTTAAGCAAACATGGTAATAAAAAATACCAAACAAAATGTGAAAAAGGAAATTAATGTTTACAAGAGACAAATATGAAATAAGGTAGTGGCCCATTAAATAAATGGAGCAAACTGGACACTCCTCTGTTGCAGTTTTAAGGAATAAAAGGAATTCTATTTAAATATAAGAAAACAAAAAATTATATTTAACAATTCTTTTTTAAATGCAGTATATCAATAATCTAAAGAATTTCCTGTCATTCAATATTCACAATAAGGTATTAGTAGGACTCACACATTGGATTAAGTGTCATTCTTGAGGAACTGACATGATTCCCTGAAACATAATTTGCATTTTTATGACTGGGGTTGCCTTGATGGTATCAAAATCTTTTAATTTGAAATATGGGATAATAATTAAGAAAAAAACCCCAATCAAACGTTTTGGACTGTGTATTTGTGTAATCTGTAGTT